AATTAAAGATAAGTAATAAAAATGCTGTAACCTGAAGTAATATTCTGAGATGTATAAATTATAATGGAATATAAATTTATGTACAATCAAAAATTATCCTGACGCAAAGAAGGATTTACTGGCTTAGGAAACAATATCTGGGAAATATATTTTACAAATGCTATATATTGTAATATTAAAAATTTACAAAATCGATATAAAATTATAATATAGCGGAAAATATAGTAGAATGTTAAGAATAAATTTGTACTTGTTACATAAAGTGATTCTAAAAATTCAGATGAATTATAACATTTTCTAAATAAAGATGTGTAGTTGTACGAATGGACGGCTGTGCGATATGTAATAATTCTGTTTTGCAAATTGTATATATATATAATTCAAGTAAATTTATAGTATATTTACTTTTCTGTTCTTATTAAAAAAAAAGAATAGTTATAGTATTACGCCTCTTGCAATCTCGTATGATAAACATACATGCAAGTATTATATATATATATATATTTCATTTCATTTACTATATTAATGGACGGCTGTGCGATATGTAACAATCTCGTTTTAAAAAATATTATGAATATGTTAACATAAATCCTTTATATTATCCTATCCAAATGTATATTAACATTTTGAGTGAGCAGTATTTCAGAGCTGAACAATCGCTGAGGATATATTTTAGACTGTCAACCAATGAAAAAACTCGTTGAAAAATCGAATCAATGAACCGAGACAAATCAAATTATTTCATTTGTTACTATCGTTAAAACATGTGAAAGAACACACATATATAAGTACCCAGTTGATAACTGATACTTGAAGGTATAAGTCAAAGAAATTCATAGGCTGCGTGCACAGTCCACACCGACAGCATTTGTTAAACATACATTCACAACACTCAAGAGGTTAATAATATGGATTATGTATAGTTAACGTAAGTTAAAATACATCGTCATAAGATGTGTGATACACTATACGCTATATTAATATAAATACAAATATTGAATATATCAAAATGTTGTAAAATTCTAAACCTTGATGTCATATCCTAAATCATGAAATCTTATGTATTTTCAATGGTTGCGCAAGTTTTAGTTACTTAAAGGTAAATGAACACATATCTCAATATGTCCATATATAACCTAAATCATTAAAAATGATGTGTTGATTTATCCTTTGTGTTATAAATGCAAAGAAGCCTTTGTAATTCCTAGTAAGTTTAAAAAGTAAATATGAGATTCTGCAAGAGATATTTTATGACAGTTTCAAGATGTAAAATAATGTACAGCAATTCCTAAAGATAAAAGTAGCATTGAAACAGCAACACTTCCCGCATCATTACATCTATTATCAAAATAGCAGAAACACCAAGTAACCTCATCGTAATAGTCGCGGTGAATATCTAACTGATGAATACTGTTATTGACATAATGCCCTAATCGTACATCTTTAGCAGCGGGTCTACAACCTTCATAGTGATCGGCAGGAATATCTGTTCTGAAGCTACGTACAGAGCTCAAGCACTCACGTGTAATGATTGTCTCGGCTGAAAAAAAATTCCACAATTATACATATATCTAATTTTAATAAAATTAGCCAAAGATGTTGAAAAATTATCTTGCAAATGAATGAATAGTCACCTCCTTTACGTTCCAATATCTTCACACACTTGTCGTCATATTCCGGACAGACTTCTCCCCAATACCATAACCAATTTAAAGGTGTTCCACATCCAGGATGATTACTGTTACACCTATAACAGTATAAACTGTTTCCTGCAATTGAAATGTTGTTAACTCACAGCAATAAAGTGACGTGTTTCAGCCACGCCCTGTTGTACAAAAATAAAGCGTTGCATTGTACCTTGGCACACCAAAATATTCAAAAGGGAAATGATGAAGTATATTTTCTTCGTCATTATCACAGTGAAATATTCTACACCGAATGTTCTATTTTATATACTTTGGTTTATACTCGCGTATAACACACCACAATCGTACCGAGGATTTCCACGCTACGTGTGATTGTCGAAGACACTTTAATAACACGACTGATGATATCATTCAGCGATAGAGCGCAACACTTGTACATTCAAGCGTCTCATTCATTCAAGTGAATTTTATAACGTACTAGAAAAAGACAGGTAAGTAAAATTTCCAAATGTGATCACACGCTTTAGAAGAAATTTCTGGAACTGATAAGATAATAAAATTAACTAATATAATAATCGATTCACCAGTTTGTTAAAACATAACTAGACGTGTGGCGCTATCTGGTAGTGTCATAAGAAGGCTTCTTACTCCTAACGGGTTTGGATCTCAGCTAAATGGTTTGAGTTCCGGTTAAAAAAGATTCGACTATTTAGGGTTCGAGTGTCGGTAAAAAAGAATTTAGAGTCTCAGTAACTTGTTACTTCAATTAGTTTTCCGCTACGAGCCGCCACTGTCTTAAACGATAAATCGAGGTCATAATGCAACACAACGAAAAAATCTTTTTTTCCATTTTTCAGTAACAGGATTGCACAACGCGGTATGTAAATTATTTCTTTATTTATCAATAGAGGTTAAAAATCCCATAAAATATATTATTGAAAAGTAAAAACTTGAACGAGATATACTTCAACACAAAATACGTATATATATATATATATATCCGTACAGGAGTCAATAAGTTTGGTAATGAAATTTAATAATATGGAGTTAGAAAAGAACTATTGCCACAAGGATTAATCAAATTTAAAAATATCAAAAAATAATCAGTTACTTTTCGATAAAAAGAGAAGAGAGTTTCTTTTATCCAGAATGAACTCCTTTAGAGATGTTTTTAGAGAGTTCTTCTTGTCTGTTTTATCGATGGTCCTCCTTCCAACATGTTAGATGGGACAATAATATATGTACAGAAATGTTGCAACAGTTGCAATGAGTTTCAGACTAAATAATAATTAAATTCTCATTAACTGTTGCGCAAAATGCCGTTCAGTTTTGCCCGTTCTACTTGCACACCACGGGATCCTGTATATTTGTTTCAATAAGCAATATTTAGCATGTTAATCCGCACTTATCAATAAAGTGATGTCGAAGAATCGACAGAATAATACAATTTGTTTATGCCAAGATTTCAATGCTACAATCAGTAAAAAACTTATATTCGTTCGTATGGCAGAATCGTAGAAAAATCGATATACACGATTTATTTATCGATACCTTTAACACCGAGAATTAGAGACAACACATCGGCCGTTACATCCTTACCGAACATTTCATAATCGTACGAAAAAATTGACACACGAAAGTTGCATTCAATTAGCAATTGCAATTCCTCGCAACATAAATACGCGCGATGAATATTCACATTGAATTTATAAGCGATCCCAGTTATTTCCGCGCGGCAATCAATTCGCAGTAATTATACTCGTTACAGCGCGCGTACCATCCTCTCCCTTTTGAGCTTTTGAACTTTCGATATCGTCGTGCGTTATGCAGATTATCGTAAAAACATTTAAACGCGTTAACGCCGAAGCTTTGCGCGGTAGCGCGCAATCGTTTATCGCATCATTCTCGCGACGGCGAAACTTTATGCTCATCGGTTTTTAGCGTAGATTGAACCGAGAGTTGTGTTTTTCAATTTAGCCTAGCCGTCCCTCGCTGCTCTTGCTGCTGCTACTATGTGAGGTGATTACGAAATTACACGAATGCGTGCATCGCATTTCGATTAAAACGGTTCTTTCGGGGCGGTACTTTCATCGGAAAATCCGACGACGGCTGCCGCGAACATCGCCGATAATATCATTCGCCGAACCGTACGATCGATAAATACACTTTATGCGTATCTTTGCACTCTTGATTATTTCTTAAGTTACATAAAAAATAATAAGGGCATATTATACAAAATTGACAAAATTCTAATTCAATGGTATGTCAAAGAGCTCCGTGGATGGGATGTTCACTAATGATTTGATTTCTCACCAGATTGTAATTTTTACTTGGGCTACGCACCAAAACAAACGAATTTTCCCGCGCGCATCTTTTAGAGAAGCATAATTCCATATTAACATAACACATGGAAGGCTCTTCTTCGAAGATATTACGAATCCCAACGTAATATAGATCGATATCTATCGTATCGATGCCACGATAGATAATGTCCCCGATATTTACCGCAGCAACTTAGGGTCGTTCGCGATATCTTACGGCAATTCTCAGCGGCGAAATTGGCCGCAGTATATTACCCGACGGTGAGATATCGAATAGAGAAGTCTTCATTGTCACCGCGCGAGATCTCGGATTTCGTTCTTATCCTCGGACACAAGCGGCGGAAACTTTCTACGATAAACTCGGTTGCCGAAACGTTTCCGGCTTTCCCGCGATTTCGTAATCTCGCAGAAAGTATATAGTTATATAGCCTTCTTCCTCCCTACGTCGTTCGAGATATAGATGCGGATTGGGCAAGGAGAAAATAAGGGGAACGGATGGGGGAGGATATCTCAGAGAGTAGCCGCCGGAGGCGTTCAACCAATTAGCTAACTCCACGGCGCTTCGAAACCGCTAACGAAGAAGCTAAGCGAACGAAGAAAACCACCTATAGGGACACCCCATCGCTCGCGGGTTCGCTCGAGGGTATTTCTGCTCGATCCTCCGAGGACGCATGGTACATATAAATTAGCGTATCAGGATTTCAAACTAAAACTCCTCGCATTTTTCTTTTTCATTTAGACAGTGTAGATGCGACGATTACAGATGGTATTTCTTTCTCTCGAGATTATCGAACTCGTTGTATCTCGTGCTGGAATGACACATGAATGGAAAGGAAAGGAGTGAGAGAAAAAGGATCGGAAAGAAACGATGATAAATATAATGGCATTCTATTCGTGATTAAAGGGTATTGTTATTATATGGTGACAAAAAGGAAAAGAAGAGTTCAATCTTTGTGGAGCAAAGTGGCATTACAAAAGAAATTAATCGAAGGGATTTCAAGTGAAAACTATATATCACGCGCTTGACTATACTTTGAATCTTATCGAATCTCCGTGTACGATTTCTCGTCAGGAAATAAAAGCGTCATTTTACCGGAAAGTAAATGTTTTTTTCTGATACTCTGGTAAAATTGCCGTTTGCTTCGTTCTGAAGGCTGACTTTTATCAAGCAACACAACATCGTTTGGATTACGAGTGAGAGAACGACGCAGCGTGGTATATTTCTCTTTTATGCATTAAATTCTCATTAGATAATTTCGTAATTAAATTGTAAAACGAAAAATGATAATTGTGCCAATAACAAACGAGAACTATTAAAATCAAATCGTTAAATTAAGAAGATACGCGGGAAAAATTCAAATCTGCAGAGCAACACTTCTTTTGTGTTGTATGTATGTTATTATATTATCCTAGAAGAAGAAAAGTAACTAATATGTAAATTTTACTTATTCAATATGCATTACGATGGGATGAAAATAATAACGCGTTCACTATTTAAACAGGAGTATGCAAATTGATCTGTCTCTATACACACGTGATAAGGGCATATAATTCACGTCACGTTCTATTTCTTATTTATCGATTCGAAGCGAATTAGCTTCGAACGCGGCAGTCTACGACTGCGGGAAGATTTATCGTTATTTCGAGTCTCGTGGACTTTTCTTCGCGACAAGCATCAGAAACTGAACCGCACGTTCCTCTCACGCCTCTGCCCGACATGACGGCGTAACTTTGCATAGCTCGATATGAGCCACCTACATGTCATTCGTATGTACAAAACCTTCCAGTCGAATCTTGCGATCGAGACGAACGGCTCGTCGTTCGCATCGCGAGATAAGCTACGAGGCGAATACGAAAGTCCCCTTTTGCAAATTTATAGGAAACACTGTCACTTGCACTCTGCGGCATGGCTGCACCGATCTCGTTATGCTGTAGAAAACTTCGATTCCTAACGATTCCTGTACGAGGAGGTTGTTACTATAATTCTAGCACTGAACTGTTTCTTTCTTCCCGATTAGTGTTTATAAGAGCGAGTTAGACTGCGGTGAGTTGTATTTTACAAATATGTATGTAAACTTGTATTTTACAAATACAACTGTGAGAACTTATAATCTTTTCTAATATGCGCATTTATTCTGCGAAATATATCAGAACATTTCGAACACGTGTTGCATTTGAAAAAAGAGAAATGTGGTGACGGAGAAGCGGAGAGGAAAGTATGACTGGTTTCGATACTTCAAATGTTAATTGATAATCGTTTTCACCTCTACACGTCGTTGTGTTGCAATTACGTGCAAGCAAATACTGAGACCGTGAAAATGAAAGAAAGAAATAAAAAGCAAGAATATCCACACGAATATTACGTATTATCTGTGGATTATTTTCGACTGGTTATCAAGTGACCGACACGTCAATATCATGTCCGTGTACACATTCGAGCTTTCCACACATGCCGGCGGTATACCCCTACATACTCATCTTTTGAATACAGCGATAACGACTATACGAAGGAAATTGAACGTCATGACGAGTGAAACGCCGTTAGAAAGAAAAGCCGATTGACCCGATTCGACGTTCTGTCAACGATTAAAAATGAAATACCATGTGGCGATATCGTATAGAAAAATGTCCGAGACGGAAATACGACATCGTCGGACATCTGATTTTATTCTCACGTAAAAATCATCATGGCAAGGTAAAACGACAATTACGCGGGGCTGCGACGAGGATAATAGTTTTCCTTTTTTCTGTAATATTTTTCATGCGTATATATATCTCGTTCGAACGTTTCTAACGCATATAGTATTCCGATAAAGATTTATTTACGTTTGTGGAAAGTTCGTCTGAAACTTGAGCCGTATCGATCCGGCTATTTTAAAATATTTCACACTGTAGTGTTTAAATTAGCAATATATGTAGAGATACTTAGAGATACCGTTGAGATAATTCGCGTCTGATACAATCCCAATAATATTAATAGAAATAACCGCGGTAATAAAATATCATCAACAAGCTAAAATATCCCGAAACATCGTTTCCTTCTCTTTTTACCGAATGCGGTTCATTATTTTAACTTGAATAGCGATTGTTACAAATTCGCTGGTCCCTCAATAGCGATCACACAAACTCTGTTGCGAATACTTTACTACCTCCGGACTGCGCGAGAAGAGGAAATGCAGCTCACACACTGTCGTTTATTTCGCGCTGCATACGGTTGGTTTGCAACGTATAAAAAAGCTCTTTAGCCTCTCTGCAGTCGAATTTGGTTTCAGTTGCAGCACA